TTGATGTTATTTGTTTCAGGTACTAGTGACGACCGTGGGAAGGCGCCGGCTTGATCCGTACACACATGTTTGGAGCTTGACATTTTGATCTTGGGATTTTGTAATATATTGTTGAACAATTAAAAAGGGGTTGTTTTTATGAATATTGATGGAATTATGCTTTTATAAAAATCGAAAATTTTGTCTGAAAAATTCAGTGTTACACAAACCCTGTGTCCGAGTCATTTGTGTCACTATCCTTTGCCTCCTCCTCATCCACGTCGACTACCGATTCTACCGGTCCTTCCTCTTTAGGCTCTTCTTCTGTTTCTTCTTCGGGTTCTTCCTCGGGGTCTTCTTCTAGTTCCTCCTCAGGATCTTCCAGCCATCCATTACTTCCCTGATTGGGGAAATAAGGATCTCCTGGGTGATGGAATCCTGCCATAGCGTCTGCACGAAAATGATACATACTAAGAATAAATTTCACCAAAATTACTCCTATAGTATATTTTAAGTTAGAGTTCCTAGAGTTATTTGGAAATGAGGTAAGCTTTTAGATTCATTTCCCGCTATGATTACTCACAGACACATGTTGGTCATATTTTGAACAAATATAGTTGATCAGACTATATTTATACCCAATATGACTACATAATTGTTCGGGTTTAATCATAATGTTCAATTTCCTGCAAAGGATTTTAGTGCTATTGTTTTTAATGTATACCTAGGTACGCATTTATTCAGAGTATTTTAGTCGCATTTTATTTATAGTTTCATATCAAGTATGATTGGATATGCTAGTTCACTATATACAATGCTCTGATACCAATCTGTCACACCCCCGAACCAGACAGTGGAAACATCCGGGGGTTTGTGCATGACTTCATCTTGTAATATCATCACAATGTATATAATTGAAACAACACAACATCATCATCATACATATCAGCATACAACCAACGTTGTGTACATCAGTTATAGTATTATTAGCTACATGCCAAAATAATAGTTCAATGTACGATGATACCAAAAATACAATAATTTCCACATTTCCTGCTGACCTTTCCACTTATCCATTCCCTGAGAATGCAAGTTATTTTGAAAACGTCAACATATATAATGTTGGTGAGTTCATAAACATGTTTGAATGAAAAGTTTTGAATAGTTCGTAATGCACCAGAAAATCCGATATTTTATGTAAGTCGTTTGAAAGTAATGTGTCAAAATCAAGTATTAATGCATGCGTGTTTACTGCTTTTGGAATGTATAGATAAAAAAAATGTAATCTAGATAAAATTACTGTATTTTCTATTTTACGTAGAAGGTAATGTATAAATGTATTTATCCCATAAAATCCGATATTTTCTGCTTATAAAAGTATCATAATCATAAAATTCCAAGACCAAGTATCGATGTATGTCTATTTTTTAATATCGTCAAGATTGGTATAAATATACTGAAATCTTTGATGGAGTTAGTCTCTAAGTGAGTCGTTACAACCATGCTTGATAGTGACTAATTCACCTGTCTTGGCGTATTCAGGCGCCGATTTTGATGTAGGTAAGGTTTGTCGCCCTAGACTGCCTGTAGCTAATAGCTAAGGCGTGACCCGGGGGGGGGGGGGGTCACCCCGTATAGATCTATACACAAACTCCCGCTCTTAATCCAACAAACTCTAGTTATACCTAGATGCTACGATTATACACTCAAAGGTGTCAACCGACAAGTGTCACTAGATTCTCAACTTGTTCACGATAATGTATTGCACCAAGTATAAGGCTTATGTGTATGTTTTAAGTTTTCAAATCCAAAAGTATGTATATGAATATATGAAGTTCAATGGATATGTAGAGGGATAGTTAAGATCCACTAAGCATATGATTTTTAGTCCAATCCCAATTAGCATGTAGATGGACCACTAAGGCCCAATAAACATGTAAAAGGGAAATTTAGGCCCAATAGGCATGTAAATGGACTATTAAGGCCCAATAAACATGTGATCCATAGTTCAGGCCCAAATTAACATGTAAATGGGCCGCAAGGCCCAATGAACATGTCATGGAAAATATTAGGCCCAATATACACTTAAATGGGCCCCTAAGGCCCATTGGCCATGTAACTAGAGTATTAGGCCCAATAAAAATTGTTATAGATGTATTCCGTCCATTCATTGTTATTTCGTTGTTTGTTTTAGCTCGAGGTATTACCAAGACAACCAAAAATATCTAATTTTTATAATAGTTACACTTTAGGCCCACTAGACCGAAATTATACATTTTAGTCACATTTTTGGAAAATTTGACACTTTAGATCCTTAAGACTAAAAGTCTTCAATTTATGAGCTTAATTCAAATATAATGACTATTTGTGGCACATTTAGGTTAAAATTTTATTTTCGGCCCAAAATTCATAAATATTAACAATTTCGGCCAAATTAAATCTAATTTAACATTTTCGACCCAAATACATCTAAATGAGCATTTTTTGCCCAAATATATAAATTTTTTGTTTTCAACCCATTTCTACAAAAATTACATTTTCAACACATTTTTTATGAAAAATGAAAATTTCGGTCTAATTTTTATAAAAATAACAATTTTTGCCAAAACTCGAGGAAAGTGACATTTTCAGCCCCTATATCCATAAATTTACATTCTTGCTCCAATTTGTATAAAATGACATTTTAGTCCACAAAAACTAACATTTTTACACTATAAGCCCAAGAAAACCGTAAGGCCCATAAGGTGGCCCATTGTGCGAAAAACTACACTTTTGACCCTTTCAAAGTCATAAATATCATAATGACCCATTTTTAAAGTAATTTGACTCTTGTGACCCTTGTAAAAACCAAAAATCCCAAGGAGGAGTTATCTTTTTGGTTATTTGTCAAAAGTGGTCCTTTTTTAATATATTGTTTAGTTTCTTATGATTCTTCACATTTTGAACACATTTATCTTCATAGTAAGTTGTGTAAAGTGTGTTAGTTTGCAAATATCACAATTTTTTGTTAGAGTTTTTGAGATCTATAATGTTTCATCACATAATCACAATTTAAATTAAGAAAACACACATAGGCATGCACAAATACATAGATCTAGTACATTTCAACTTGTATCCTCCCCCAAAACATAGTAAAACTGAAAATCAAGGGGTATGAACTCACATTGAGGTTTTGGATTCGATTTTTGGTGATGATATGAATAGATTTTCGGCCCTAGCACCACCTTGAAGAAGTTTTCGAACTCTATGAAGTTTAAGAGTATAGATCATGATTTATTATGAGTTAAGTAGATATTTTTGAAGTACTCAAGAAACTAAACCGTAGACCCAAGTATGAATTACCAAAGATGGTGATCTTAGTGAAAAACTTATTGGAAAGGCCGAAAATGTTGAAAAAATTTAGAGGAGGGTGAAGGGTTCTTGAGAGAGTTTGAAAGAAAGAAATAGAGGTGGTGTTGTGGGGTGTTTGGCCGAGGCTAATAAGAGAAGAAAAGAGAGGAAGCTTTGAGGTGATGTTTGCATGGATATCCACCATGCAAACATGAGGTGTCATATGCACAAAATCCTTCATTTTATATATGTTTTTTGTGTTTAATTAACTAAATGGGCCGGGAATTTGGGCTTAAGGATGGAGATGAAATGGTTTTGGGCTCCTTTTTCTTGGCTTGCTCGAATTTATGGAGCTTAATAATATTTTACGGCCTATTGGGCCCTAAAGAAGGTTCACAACCCAAAATGGTAAAAGGAATGGGTTTATGGCCATTAGTGCTAATTAAATCATTTATGGCCCATCATGGCCCATTGGAGGTACAATGAATCATTCTAGGCCCAAATGCCTCAAAATTTTATAGATCTATGAATTGGGTCCAATTAGAACCTAATTAGGGTTTTTAGGCCCAAAGTAATCAAGTTGAAGATTTATTGTTCCATTAGGCGCAATAAGTCCTAGTTCATAATGAACTTGAAATGGGTTTTCTAGGGTTTTCAACTCATGATTGATTATTTGGAATGTTTTGTATAGAGTTTTGAACTTCACATGTGAACCTTAATTTGGTTTGTTGTCATTGAATAGTCGTAGTGCATAGTATCAATTTAGAGTTACAAATGTCACAATAAATGATGTTTACAAGAGTACAGAATTTCCATACAAACACTACAAGAAAAAGCCGATATAGCCACAGAAAAATTCCGTAGCTAAAACATGATATTCCGTAGTTAAACATGATTAGCGACGGAATTTGCTACAGAACAATTCGGTAGTTAAATTCTTCGTTAGTAAACTTTCGTTATGGAATTCGTAGCACCTTTGCAACGGAAGTTGCAGCGGACTTTTTCCGTAGTAAAATAGTTACGGACTACATCCGTAGAAACATCGTAACAAATTAACTACAGTTTTATCCGTAGCAAGTCCATAGCGAATTAACTACGCTCCGATCCATAGTAAATTTATCGCAAGTTAACTACAAACTAACTTCGTAGCTAGTTTCCGTAGCAAAAATCCACTATGGTTAATGGCGTAGCTAATACCCCATAGTAAATTTAGTACGACCTAATTCCGTAGCAATTATTTTGTAGTAAATGCACTACGCTCTACTTCCATAGTAAATATCTTGTAGTAACTTTACTACAACACACCTCTCTTAGAAATGTTTTATAGTAAATTTACCATAGTCTACCTCCATTGCAAACTAAATGTGACGGAATATATTTTGTAACAAAATCCATAACAACTCCACAAAAAGATACACAGTAACTCCGTAAAAATAACAATAGAAAAAATTTATGACATGATTAATTCTGTATCAAAATGCATACAAAATGACTAAAAAAATTCTGAAGCAAATTTATAATAAAATCAACATTACAAAATTGCAATAAGAAATAATAAAAATTACATTAGTTCTTAATAAAAAAGAAATAGTTTATCATCGAATGAAATACTACCTTGTCCAAAACACCAATAAAACTAGTCTAGTAGCCAAACTCAACTAGAAATCCTAAATATGCAATAAAAAAAATTCTCACTGGTTATTTGTGCTTCTTATATCATTTATCATGTTTCTCACATCATTCAACTCCATCCTTTGTTGCTCTATGGTTACCTCTAGTTTTTGAATCTTGGTCTCAATATGATGTTTTTCAGAAGTTGTATCCGGTGAAGTGCATGTTTGAGAAGAAATTTCAGGCAAAATGGACCTGCCATATGATCCAAGCTCATAAATTCTTCTCTTACGGTCATGTCCTCCGACAACTGTATAAAATAGTTCACTTTCATCAACTTCCTCTCCCAGTAGTGCCAAATCCGCACGTCGTGACACAAACAAATCCTACAATATTATTGTTGCATTAATATATGGTAAGATTTTTTAAGTTCTGATTATCAAATAAATTAAAATTAAGCTTACATGAACTTCTTTAGCTTTGTCAACTTGAAACGTCTTTCCATCATGATCCTTAGTATGAGTAAACATGAATACATCATAGCATGATGGAGCTTGTCCCGTATATTCCTCCTATGTTAATACAATACGTATGCCAAATCTCACCACAAGATGTATTGAAAGAAATATATTATATGACTATTAAAAACCCTTACCATGTCGGCTGCAATTGTTGATGTGAAGTCGATCCGCCATTATGAGTAAGTGGGGCTTTTCCACCTAGTACATCTTTACGCTATTTTTTTTTTTTATTTTGCTCCGATTTTTTCTTGAACTCCTCCAAATTCCATACTGCATTCCTTGAATTCCACACTTGTTGTTCTATGTGGCATGGCTTTTCACAAGTTGGATTTCTTGTGCTGATGTCATAGATATACTGTCGATATCTTTCTTTGGCTTTCTATTCCCAAGCAGCCTTGACTACTTAGTCACGAACTACAACATCCCACTGACATTTTTTCTACAATACATAACAACAATGGAGTTATAATAACCGAACTATATGACTAAAAATTAAATAAAATCAATATAACAAATCATGTACCTGAAACTCTTCCCCATAAAATTGTTTTATCTCTTCGCTTATTGTACCCTCTTACATCCATTTTCATCCACTTTATCTAGGAATGATTTCTTAATTATGGTTGAACATTTACCTGAAGGTAATAACCTATATAAAAAAAATAGCATACTAGTATGAACAAATCAAACTTAAACAAAAAAAGATGAAAATCAGTTAGTATGGTAACTTACGCATTCTCTCGAACTTTAATATGTATGCGGCCATCTTGTTGTTCGGTAGCAATTGGTGATGATGGGGTTTCTGTAGAGGAAGGGGTAGAAGATGGGGGTTGTGTGGATTATGGGGCTGATACAGTACCAAACAGTGGGGGAGTAGATGGTGTATGTGTGGATGTAGCGGTAGCTGTTAGGATTGTTGTGGAGGCAGGGGCAGTCGATGGGGCTGGTGTGGATGAAGGGATAGATTATGGGATTGATACACTTCCAAATGGTGGTGTGGTAGATGTTGTCGGTGTGTAGGTAGGGGTAACCAAAGGGGATATCACAGTCCCAGATGGTGTAGATGCTTCATTAGCATGCCTTTGTAACAGACGATGTATGTTCTTGCGTGGCCTTGCTGGAGCTCCTTTTAATGGGAATGGAGATATCTTTTTTGTAATATAGCAAGTGCATTCGTAATAAAAAGTTATAAGTTTGAAATATATTCATTAATAATAAAAACTCTTGCATGAAATTAAAAGAACATGGTACCAATAAAATTCATAATCAGATTTAGTTTACATATTCAGTTTATTTACACGAATGCATAGGGTCCTAAGGTTGCTATTGAACTAATCAGATTATAAGCATCATTCAATTACATTTTCACGATTATAAACATATACAGAATGACAAACCCACAAAGGGGTGACAACTTGCACACTGTTACCAAAAAGGAGCTAACTGATATTACAACCCCTGCCAAGCGTATAAGATGATAGAAAAAGGAAGGGCAAGATCGATCAATATTGTTATTAAGAAATACAGGTGTAACCATAAAAAAAATATATGTAAGGAATCATATAATATGATCGAGGGAAAAACAAAACAGAAGAAAAACGATGTTAAAATTCGTTATGGTCTTTTTTAACATTTGAAAGTCGATGGTTGATACTGTTTACAAAAAAAAAACCATGTGGTTGTAAATAAAGGTCTAAAGGATTTTGGTCCATTGCTTACTTTTGTTTTTGATAGCTAAAGAAGATGATCAGTGAAGAATATAAAAGCGGAAAAAAAACATACCTGCTATCACAAGGCCTGGAAGCACCGAATAGTGGAAGCAGAGGAAACACAACAAAGTACGTATAGATGAATAGTGAAATTCTCCTTCGTATGGGCAAGTTATACCTAAGTAACGGGGGAGCGGTTTTGACGGGAGTGGATATAGGGAATTCTGTTTTCCCGGGAGTGGGATACGGAAATAAATTTTTTTTGAATATTTTGGAAGATTTGTTTTGCCGGGTTTTGAGATAGGAAATTCAAAACTATATATTATTTTTTCACTAATGTACAATAAAAGAGAGAAGATATATAAGGGAAAAAAGTAATTTACGTGGGCTAGATATACATGGAAAGGATTTCACATATATAAGGAATATGTCAACTGGTCAAATCTTAGGTGTAGGGTAATTTCGTCCATTTTGGAAAATAAAATATTATTGTGGGATAGTTGACTTTTATTGGAGTAGTTGCATTTTTCTTGTTTTGGGAGATTGGAAATATGATATACTGGGATTGATAAAGGCAGGAAATGGAATTTTATGTTTCGGGTTCTCTTTAATCAACTTACAAGGACTTTTGAAGCAGGGGCAATTCAGTCAAAATATGAATGGAAAAAATGTTTTTTGTCTGTTTATATCATGTTCCTTTCCTGTTCTGTTAATGAAGAAATAAGAAATAACTATGGGTATTTTGTTAATGTTTGTATTAACAGATTAGATCGAGTCAAAAATGGGTTTTATACCAATTTCATTTGGGATTTAATGGACTATAGGGCAATTTTGGAATTTTCTGCACTGGTGGATTTTCGAGTTCTATATTGTTGATTTTTGCAAATCTTTATTGTTGGTTGAGATTAAAAAAAATTGTTTGTTATAATCAGGTTTCAAAAGAAAATTGATAAACATTATTAGCAAAAAGTAAAAAAATGTATATATATTTAAATAATATGTAAAAATAGTTAAAAAAAACTGAAAGTTTTTGAAAAATATAAAATTTTGAAATTATACCTATTCATGAATGTCATAATCAGATTAATCTTGGGTTTTCTTTAATCAACTTCCATTCCATCGCATTTTGAAGCAGGGGCAATTCGGTCAAAAAATGAATGGAAAAAATGATTGTGTTTGTTTATATTATGTTCCTTACCTGTTCTATTAATGAAGAAAAAGAAATAACTATGGGTATTTTGTTAATGTTTGTATTAGCTCCAAGTATTTTATTATGTGAGATATTAAAAATGGTGTATCATAATATCAAAAAACAGGATCTGGAATTTGAGGTTTTGACTAAAGGGTATTTTGGGTATAAGTTGGATGGTGTTGTTCTTTATGTTTATTTGTAGCTCAAGGGGGATTTTTTGATCTAATTATCTCTCCTGTTTACTGCACCAATCAGTCAAAAATGGGTTTTATACCAATTTCATTTGGGATTTAATGGACTAGGGGCAATTTGGACAAAATTTCAAAAGGAAAAGCTTATTGGTATGTTGTTATTCGTATTCCTGGATCATGAATGATAATAAGAAGAGAAGGATCTTTAAAATGCTGTTGATTGGGTTGAGTTGGAATTTAAATGCTGGTGTAATTCTTTGTTTAAGACTACAGGGCAATTTTTGAATTTTCTGCACTGATGGATTTTCGAGTTCTATATTGGTGATTTTTTTGGTTACTTTAAAAGGAATTAATGGGAATTCGTTTGGTAATTTCCCTTTTAAAATTACTAAGCATTTATGTTTTATCATGATTTTTTTTAAGGATTTAGCTTTTGAAGTGATTTTTGTCAATCCAAAAATTATTTTTGAAAATGTTCATCAAATTTAACGATATGCATCAATTGTGAACTAAAAAGAGCTATAAGGAAATAGAAAGGGCAAATATGTAAAAAGTTAAGGTTTAAATACAATAATCAATATTTCTGACTTAACATGCTAAGTCATTTTACAATAAACCTACCGAACAAAAACGGCCAAATAAGATTTAGATTTGTTAAAATCTTATTATTATTATTATTATTATTATTATTATTATTATTATTATTATTATAATAGTCACATGTCCACTATTAAGGTTTAAAAACATTATTATTATTATTATTATTATTATTATTATTATTATTATTATTATTATTATCAGTATTATTGTTATTATATATTATTTAAATTGTAAACAAAATTATATTTGAATAGCAATTTCCAATTTAGTTTAAGCAAAATTCAATTCAAATTTAGGTCCGGGGCATGGGTGTATCAGATCTAGGTAAACTGGATATTTTACCCGGAATTGAGTAAAATAATTGAACTTGTTAATCAGGTCAGAACCAGGTTTAAGAAAGACCCGAAATTGATAGAGTTTTGTTATGGTACACTCAATCAACCTATTAGCCATCAGATACCCACAAAACATATCTCAAAGAAATCTTCACTATGATCAACAAATATGACTTTTTGTTCCTAAAAACCAATACACTGCCATTAATTCAACATAAGATTTTTAGAAACTAGAATAAGAACATGGATTGAAGTAAAAAGATAGTAAATCATCAACCTCTTATGAACAAACCCATAATCGGTTCTAATTACCTATTTTCAGTTCCAACTGGTTCCATACCCACTTTACCCTGTCCGATACCCAAAACAGAACCAGAAGAGGCTCCCCTATACTCGTCCGACTTTAGGATTTTTTAGGTCCTATCTCAATCAGGTCGGGTTCGGATCCAGTTTCATCCCTACAAACGATAGTTGGTTTAAAATACATCATTTCATGTTAGTCGACATCCGGTCATTTGATCATCCGTGATCGTTTAATGGGTTCGTACTTTTTTAGAATACCTCAAACACTTAAAAACTTTATTGGAAAATTTAGTACAATAATAGTTATGGGTTTTTATGTAATATTGAATAAGTAAAATTTTGATTATGTAGCAAACATTGTATCAAGTTGGGTACAAACATTGATCTATAGAAAAGTTCATAGAAAACTAGCTATGGATTTTGATTCTGTAGCAAATTTGTAGCTAGATAACTATGGCTTTCAGTTCTGTAGCAATTATGTAGTAAATTAGCTATGGATTATGATTCCGTAGCAAATTCTGTAGCAAAATAACTACAGACTATCACTCGTAGTAACTTCTGTAGCGAAATAACTACATATTGTGATTTCGTAGCAAATTTGTTACAATATACCTACGACTTCTGATTTTGTAGCAAAATTCTGTAGTTATTCAACTATATTACCTACGGAATGCAATTT